ACACTCCATTTGCTGTGCAAAGTCTAGCATGGTTTTATTTGGCTAATTTGCCTACTAATAAGTCTGTGGTTTCTGATGTCTTCTTTTCATATTTTCCTCTCTCACTTTCTTACCACAAACCATTTTAAATAAAGCCCTAATTCTCTTCAGGCATTACAGAATTGTAGTTGGGAATATCTTCCTCTCCTCCTCCTTCTACCTTGACTCTTCTGCGTTGCCCGAATGATCCAAAGTCAGATACGTCTATGTTTAGCTGAGTGTGATCATGCAGTCTAGATTCCCAGATGCATTAAAACTTGCAACCAAGTTCAGCCAAACCGGCTCACAGTGTGATTTCATATTTCCCCTTTCAGCACAGAATAGATAGGATTGAGGAGGTGGAGCTGGAGCAATTTTGTAACCCCTGAAGATGGTTTACGTTTCCCAGGATTCAGAAAGCAGCTGTCATGTTTCATCCACGTCAAACTGAAATGTTGAAAAACAGGATCTTAGTTGCTCCCATGATATGTTTAACAGGTGTATGCTTTCCTGTCCTTGTGATTTGCTGGAGGTTGGTTGTTTAAAACGTAACAGTGAGAAAATGAGGTCCTGCAAAGGAAACTCTGATAACTCAGCTCCATGGTTTCCCTAGAGCAGTGTTTCCCAAACCCAGGTAAATTACCCAAAATTGGGTAAAAGTGGTTTTACTTTGGGTAACGACAGATGAATCCATTCACAGGAGGGATACTTAAACTTACTTAAAGATCGCCACGTGTACTAAAATATATTCAAAAATCTCCCAAAGTATTCCTATTAAGATGAAAATCAATTAAATTACCAATGGTAATTTGTTAAAATGATAATATAGATCATTCAATGATTCTGTTTTATAATACAGATAGTCCTCGAGTTACGATTATTCATTCAGCGACAGTTCAAAGTTACAACAGTGCTGAAGGAAGGAACTTATGACCAGTTGTTGAAGTTCTAGCCGTTGCAACACCCCTGCAGTCACGTGAACAAAATTTGGGTCCTTGGCAACCACCTCGCACTTAAGACCAGTTGCAGCATCCCACAGATTATGTGATCACCTTTTGCAACCTTCCCTCCTGGCTTCCCACAAGCAAAGTCAATGGGGAAGCTGGCAGGGGAGGTCATCCCGGCCTTTCTTCACTCGCCCACATGCACCATGCCCTCCTTCCCCCCTTTGCTTGCATGCACACACCCACCAGCACCCTCCTTCCCTTCTGAGTTTTGGGGTGATGAAGTTTGGGAAGCACTGCCCTAGAGCAACCCAGTTCACCATATTATGTTTATGATGGGTTCTGAATCCAGAAACCTTTTTGTTTCAGATTTCTATGACTCTTATCGTTATCATTAGATGAAACTTTCTGAGGTCTTTCATGTCATAAAATTCCTTGAACCCCATACCCTCGCTTGGCAGAACCTCATCTCATCTTGAGGTGTTCCCTAGTCTTGATGGTCTCCCAGTGGAAAGCTTGTGCATCAGTCTGGTAGATGGCCTCTTAACTGTCATTTAACATCCACCTGACTTGCTTCTTGACCATTTCTCTCTGTGGAATTCTGATTCTCTACAAAATATTTCTTGCTACCCCAAACTCGTCAGAGTGAGATTGATTAGTAAATTATTAAGTTCTATTTTGTCATGTACACATTGGTTTTCTTCTGTTTTCCACTTTTTATTATAAACATTCATTAATTTGGAAGCTGAGTTTCACTGGATTCCTATACCCTGCAAAGAAATGAAGTTCTTTCCATACTATGCAAATGGTTTAAGTTAAACAATGGGCTTTAACTTAATGTGGAATAAATTACTAAATTGACCACTGAAAATTTGGAATTTAGTTTATGATCCTGCTGTTACTAAGTACATAACTGCAGGTTGTGGAAATGTTAGGCTGGCCAAAGTGGATGATGGCGGTAATAATAAGAAAGAGAAAATGTTGTTAGTGATGCACACTATAAGATTCACACTGGGATGACTGTCCTCTTCCTTCCCAAAAGTGAACAATAGAGGATAATATCAGCTAGGTCTGCCCCACTGAAATCGAACCTGTATGGCCCAGAGACACTAACCCGTACAAAGTAGGTAGGGCTTGTTTCAGTAGGCATAGATTTTGAGCCCAACTTCTATTGGTTCACAGACTCTGTTGCTGCTGTTTTGTGAAGTGAGATTCTACTTAAATGTGAGAGATGGGAAGTTCCCAGGTCAGATCTCATCTCATTATGAACTAGATGGCCATAAGCAAGGTACTTTCCATCACCCTCCATTTTTACACATAGTTGTTCTAAGGATTGGTAAGATAATGTTTTAGGAAGTGCTTTGAACACTTGAAAATGCATAATGTCACCTTCCTGAACCTCCAAGAGTTCCCAAGCAACATGACAACAAAGGGCACATCAAGAAGATCCAAGGCATGGCCAACATCTGGAAGACACTAGATTGGGGAAGGCTGTTTCACATAATACTCAGTGTTAGTATTACTGTTATGGCCAGTACTTTGGGCCACAAATAAATAAATCTGCAATAATGGATATTTATATGTACATCTGCCTATGCTACATTTATCAGTTGTGCAAATAAATTGAAAATTGCTGTGTCTACTATGAATACAGTCTCTTAAGCCATAATTCTTGCGCTTCTTCACTTCCAGATTCCTTCATCCTCACTTGCAGCTTGAAATATCTATTCATTCATGTTTCCATAAGATAATTGCATTGCAACCTAAATCTGAAAGAGCCAGTAATGAACTACAAGGGCGATACTGTGTCAATTTTTTTCCATGTTATTCCTTTTCTCATATGTAACACTGAGAGCTGTCTGAAGGAGGCAGAAGTCAAGGACAATAAGGTTGCATTATTGTTTTGATGAAAACCCTTAGTTTCACAGGTGAATGAATACATGTTAGGATTAGGGCTCATCTTCCTTTAATCATGATGCTCCATGTTACCTGTTTTATAAAATTAGCTTTCCGAACATATGATTTATAAATACTGTGTATCACTAGTTGCCTTTTTAGGGTCCCCAGAGTCTTGTTCATGGGCTACAAGGTAAATTTTGTTTCTATCACTTTTAAAATGTTCATCCTGATTTACTTGAGTTGAGAGTGCAAGAAGAACAAAAATGTTCACCAGTCCATTTACAGATGCCCAAGTGTCAGTTACTGTGTTTGTCCCCCTAACTCACATTCCTTCAAAGTAAGAGTATGTTTCTTCTCAGTTTGAATTGGCTTAATGATGTCATATTTAGCCACCCTGATTCATCTGGCTTTATTGTACCATATAACCGTATTAGCTACAAGACAACATCACCAAGCCACTTAATATCAAAGGCTGAAAGTTCTGCCCATAATCTGAATATGGCCATCATATGATCCCAAGTTTGATGGCATTGTTTTCCCCAAACACTTAAGGTTTTTTTAGTGATGACATTTTTTTTCCCATGGAAGAAAGCAGCCAGCAGGAAATAGGTGTGAAGAAAAATTAATAGGAGGGGAGGGGAGTTGGTATGGGAGCTCCCAAGAAATATTTTGAGTGCCTCAAATTTTGGGTGCCTCCAATCTGTACCCTTGTGGTAAAATTGACTTAAAATATATTAAATATAGGCTGAGTTTTTAGCCCCAGTCAGAGATGTATACATCAAAATTATGCCACATTGCCTTTTGGAAAACTGAAACTTTCTGATACTTAAGCGAAGATACAAATATATGCTATTAACTTCTATTTTATATAAAGCAAGTTTGAATTCATTTCTGGGTACAAGTAGGGAGTTTTGAGCCTCGGATTTTGGTAACAGAAATGTACAATTTTTAGGTGAGTATCCCAATTGTAAATAAACAGCTCTTGCCTTCATATCTGAGCAAACACATCACGACATATGGTAATGTATTTTTGAACCACAGTCCAACTTTACTGCCACGTTATTTTTAAATTAAACCAATTTGGTATAATTTACTCAATACTGTTACATTCCTGGTGTGTTCTTGTTGTAAGGCAGCGTGGGATTGGTTGGCATTCTTTGATTTCATTTTTTTTTTCTTTTGCATTTCTTTCTCTCTTTTTTTTTATGAACTTTGCATTGCAGCATGTGTGAGCAATCTTTTCCACCCAAGACCATTTACATACATCTGTTGTAAGCATAATGGACAATACAGCTCTTTCTTTTTGCTCCCTGCTGGTAGCAGAAACAATTGTGCATATATTTGTGGATGATGACAATGATGATGATGATTGCTTTTGGGGAGAATAAATACAGTATAGACAAATTGAACAACGGTTGCATGTTGAATTAGCAATATTATAAACTGGAAACAATGGTTTTGCAGAAGCCATTGTTATCTTTCAGTACAGTCTGACTGATAAGGTCTAGAGCAATAGTATCTTCAACTGTGTTCCCAAAACACAGATTGGAATTATTTTTTAAATATGGCTGTTGCCATTTAATTTGGTGAACTATGGCATATCCAAATGTTCACTGTGTTGATAGTCAAATATTCAGGCCACCAAAGATTTTCTGGGATGTTCAAATGGGAATAGGTATTTTATGATGCCAAGTGAATATTCATTATTTGTGGTGGCTATTAAAAAAACCAAAAGGATATCCCTCTTTCTCCAGTGGTAAAGATGGTCTGGATCCAAGTGAGATTATGACTAATTCGGTTGAGAACAGTGAGGCTTGAATTAGTCAAGTCTAACTGGTTTTGATGTGATTCACAGAATATAGAATGCAGCCTTAACCATAACTAACTCCAGTATTCATGTAAATAAATTGTAAAATGCAGACTATTACTCTAAGAGAGACCCAAAGCAGCAGCTGAGTAACTCTACAATCCACTTCTATGCCCTAAAACAAAAGTTTGCTGCGTGGAATATTTCCAGTTGAATTACCCTATTTGACTGTATTGTTATTTTTATAAGTACTTGAGAGCAACAATTGCAAAGATTTCATCTTTTTCCTTTTTGATTGCCATCACTCCCAAAACTTTCTTTGTATTTTTCAGGGATAGAGCTCTGCCCTCCTGACCACCGATTTATGATCACAATGATAGCAAGCTTTGTAGCAATGGCAGGACAGTTCCTCATGCCAGGGTTGGCTGCCCTCTGCAGGGACTGGCAGATCCTCCAAGCTGTGATCATCTGCCCTTTTCTGCTGATGTTACTCTACTGGTTGTAAGTATCTGCAGTTCTTTACTTTCAGAAGTGGTTCATTAGTAACAGGTGAATGCTTGGAGCCAAACAAGATGTTACAAGAGAAATGAGGCATTTGATTCTAAATTTCCATGGTTCTATTTATGTGGAAACTAGGAGAAATAGTGGGAGGAGATAGTGCTTCGTCTTTTTCTCCTCTGCCATTTCTCCTCCAACCAGTAGTCTTTCACCCAGTTTCTTTTAATTGATAGATCAAAAATCAGAAGTAAATTAGCTTGTAGGAGAGATCAGGATTAGTAGGGTGAAAAGAAATTAAAATAACACAAGATATAACTACTTTATCCCTTGTCCCTCTGTTTCCTTTTAGCATGGATCTTAAGTTATTTGGGGATTTTGCTTAAAACCTTAAGAAGTTCTACTATTTTGCTAGCTGAAACTTTCTTTTCTACCTCTACCCTTTTCTTTAATTGAGAACCATAAGAATAAAATCTAATACTAGGTTCAGAGAAACTGCTTAACCAACATAATATAAATCACTGGTTCCAGTTTTCTTACATGACAGTCTCGACTACAGACTTCAACTGTGTGAAGAAACATCCCTTATTCCTTTTACCAAGGCACACTGGGAGATGTAGGTTTGGGTGAGGAAACTAGGGATCTCAGCCTCCATAAAATGACAGTTCCCGGGATTCTTAACAATTGACCTAGAGCTTTTAAGTGGTGCTGGTGAAGAATGTAGTGCCCATGGTAAATAATAAAACAATAAATTATATTTAAAATAGAGTGAAATCACCAAAATTAAAAAAAAACACAGATAGAGTTACCTCACTTTAATCCTCCAATGCTACCCATCAATCTTTACCAGTTGCCAGAAGGCTACCAAGGAAGGGGTTAATCTAACTTCTAGGGGGAAAGCTGTTACATAGGACAAGTGCCATGACTGAAAAATGGCAACTTTGGGACTCAGCACAAAAATGGGGATCCCACAATAAATTTTCTCAAGAAGAATGTATCAGATGGGTTGATTATGGATGGAGAAGATGGTTCTGCAACAATCTAGATGCAGAGTCATATCCAGATAGTCCTCAATTAGTGATCACAATTGGGACCAGCAACTCTATCACGAAGCACCACAGTCACTAAGCAGAAAGTCACGTGACCACACTAGGCTTATGACCTCACTTCTCCTTGGGTAAGCAAAGTGCTGCAGTCATTAAGTGAAACATCATGTGACCACGACTTACAATTTTACTTCCACCTTCTCTATTAATTCTGCTTGTCACCACGGGATGCTGCAATGGTCATAAATTTGAGGAGTGGTTGCAAAGCTATTTTTTACACTGTCGTACTTTGAACAGTCACTAAACAAGGCAGCCAGTAAACGAGGACTACCTGTAAGGCTTTATAAGTTAAAATCAGCACTTGGAAGCCAGTGCAGCTCAGGTGTCATATACTCATGGTGAAAAGCACCACAAAACATGTGGACCCTTGTATTTTCTACCACTTGCAGGGTACAAATAATCATCTTCTAGAGTGCTCAGGGCCCTGTCCTCATTCTTCCCCAAAAAGGGGAAGTTGGAGACTAGGCAATAGTTGTCAAATATAGCAGGATCTAGGGAGGGCTTCTTAAGGAGGGCACATCACAATTTCCTTCAAGGCTGCTACCATCACTCTCTCAAAGTGAGAATTGATCACCTCCCAGATCCACTTGTCATATCCCCTCCAGCCTCATGGAAAGACCAGGAGGGGCACGAGTCTAGCCCACAGGGGGCAAGGCCCATGCTAGAGAGCATCCTATCCATTTCAAGGGAGTCTGCAGGCCAAAATAAGATCCAGCTGAAACAAAACATGTCATCTTGGAGCTGCCTGCGTAGAGTCAGATTTTAGTAAAATTGAGTGACTTTGTCAACAAAATGCTGTGTAAAACAGTCACGGCGGGATATCTATTCCGTCTCTGTAAATAAAGGCGTAAGTGAGTAATGATGGATTCTAGATATGGACATATCAGTTGAGGATGATGGAGTTGTATATCATACATACCTCAAAGCAGCTGTGCTGACTAAATGATGGTGTTGTAGCCCAACTCAGCTACAGGAGATGTCCATATTGAGAAATATGGACATAAACATTGTTGCATATAGAATCTATACAATGCTGTCATGAGGTATATCTGGATATTGTGTTTATTTTCTGTTTGGTTTTTTTTAATGAGTTTAACCCCTGAAGCTATCCCCAACAAACCCCAACAAACCATTGAAATTGTTGTTTGGATCTGGGTGCAACGGAATCATATCCATCTACCTAGTATCTGCTCTTGAGGCCCTTTTCTCTCTGATTCTTCAGCAAGAACTTTCAGGCTGATGAATACTTCTCAATTTTGTCTTTAACCCCTTAGAACACTTTCTCAGGATGATTCATCTGGTCCTTCTCTCTATTGATTATAGGGTAAACACAAAACACTCCTTTTTTGGTCAGCTTTTGCTTTCTAATTTCCTTTTTCATTGTGTGGTGGTTCTATATGATTACGTATTTTATTTTGTAATAGGATGGTTTGGATATTTCAATAACTTGTAATTGGCACTGGTTGCTGTAAGTTAGTGGGTGTGGATAAAATTTTTGAAGAGTTCAATGTATTAAATATATAAAACCCATAACCTTAGAAGTCCCCTCTCCCACTATCATTCACTTTCCAAGGTTCCCTGGAGAAAGAGAGTACCAGTTAAACTGGTTTGTCTGTGGTGTGGAAGTTCCTACCTATTCTTGAATTAATCATCTTATTTAATAAAGTTGTTATGAAAGAAAGAAAGAAAGAAGAAAGAA